CCCAATTAATCAAACCTAAGGAGGATGTCTTTGGAACCGCCAATCTGTAGGGGGTATGTCAGAAGCACAGGTAACAGCCTCGGGCTTGCTAACTGGCTTCTGAAGGGAGTGGGAATCAGGGACAATCTGGTGAGACTGAATCCTTAACCTGTGGGATCTGATGCTATCTCCTGGTGGATACAACAGAACTGAGTTGATTGGACACCCTGCTTGTGTCCAAGAATTGTGTTGTATGTGGGGGAACCCACCCCCAGAAAGAGATTGGAATTGGGTCCAGGAACTCTAAAAGGGTCACCAGTCTGCAAAATTTTCTTTTTTAAAATCAATGTGTTGACAGTTATTGTGTCAATCTATATAATGAACAAGGGTTGGGTTTTTTTTCACTTTAGAAGTACTTAATCATTTTATTATAATTAAGCTAGAAAAACACAACTTTTATTTTGATTTGTCAGCTTTTTATATTCTAATTTGGTAACCAAAAAGATTTCATGTCTGAGTTACTCAAAATTTAAGAATGTCAAGCAAACCTAAATATTTCTGTTCTTTCTGGGTGCCTGGGTGGCTCAGTCCATTAACCCTCTGCCTTCAGCTCAGGTCATGACCTCAGGGTACTAGGATCAAGGCCCCCATTGGAGTCTGCTTCTCCTTCTGCCCTTTCTTGTGCTCTCTGTCTCAAGGAAATAAATAAAATCTTTAAAAATACATATATTTTTGTTCTTTCCTTTATAAACCAAAAGAGCAAACAGAAAAGAAAAGGTATCTTAGAAGTTTGATTATTTTGGATTTGGGGCCTGAATTTTAGGGGGAAAAAAAAGAAGGTACTTAAACAAGAGTGCTAGTGGTTGAAATAGTAGGAAATATATGGATTTGAGGTGTATTTTGAAGATAGAGCCAGCAGCATTTTCCAACTTTATGATTTTAGGCAAGTGGCTAAAAAAAAATTTTTTTTTTTTGAGACTGAGCTCTGCCCTCCTGTTTTTCCACTCCTGCAGCGGCTGCAAAGTGAGTCTGTCTGCGCCCCGCACCCCGCACCCCCCCTCAGCCTAGAGGGGGGCTCAGCACCCTGAAGGGATGTGTGTAGGGTGGAGACGGCCAGCTGCGACCAGCTGGGAGCCCTGGAAAACCTCCCATACACCCCCATCCCCACCTTCTTGCGCTGCCGGCTTCAAATCCAAGAGCCGAGGCGGGCCGCGCAAGGAAAGCAGTGGAGACAGATCCGCCCCACCTGCTGGGCCTCCCTCCACCTAAGACGGCCAGACTGATGGCGAGGTTATCTTTGCTGTGCCTACTTACTTGAATCCGCCCCCGAGATTTTCTTCTTGACACACTTGGGTTGTGGTGTGCCAACCTTAAAAATAAAATAGCCAGTTATTATCTTCCTACTTCCTGCGGGTTCTGTGGGCTGCAAGGGGTGGTACCTGGGTGTGAGCTCCCGCGTTGTCTCCCCGCCTCCATTTTAAATGAGGTTTCCTATATTTATTTCCTCAGGTGGGAGGAGACTGAAGCCGGGGGAGGGAGCCCCGGGAGCCTGTTGTGAATCTCCTGCAAAAGCGCTTGACACAGCGCCGGAGACGAAGTCCAGAGTGTCCCCATCTTCTCGTTCCTTCTTTCCACCTCTCCTCCGTCCCCCATGCCCGATCACAATCTCTCCCCTCTCACACCTCTGTCTCCTGCACCTTCCTCCCATCGTAAGCACGCACAGGGGTTCGTTCTCCTCCTGGAGAGGATTGCCTTTCCTCAGAGCAAAGGGGTGGGGTGAAGAAAGGAGAAGGCTAGAACACACCCTCCGCGGAAATTAGGGTAAGTACAGCAACTGCATTGAATAAGCGTCAGCCTGCTCGCCATCGCCGTCGGAGGGGAAGCATCAAGTTTGACGTGATCTCCTTGCAAGAGACTTTAACTCTCGCTTAATTCCTTCAAATGGGACAAAATTATCCAAATTATCCAACAATCCAGACCACCTTCAAGTGCTTAATTGCTTTTGCTTTTAAGTGCAACCATCTGACTTTTCCCGTTTCCTTCTGTCCTGTGAGCCTATTTGGTGTTGCACGTCGGTGTTAATGATGTGTTCGTTCCTGAACTTTGAGGGGTTTCTTTAAAATTAGATTATTACTTTCCTGGGTTCCCTGGTATGGCCTTTATCTGGGGGGAGGGTTCGGCAAAAGATTTTTCAAAACATTTGTCAGTGGGCACCTGGGTGGCTCAGATGGTTAAGCGTCTGCCTTCCGCTCAGGTCATGATCCCAGGGTCCTGGGATCGAGTCCCACATCAGGCTCCCTGGTCCTTGGGAGCCTGCTTCTCCCTCTGCCTCTCTGTCTCTCATGAATAAATAAATAAAATCTTTAAAAAAAAAACATTTGTCAGTGATGCCAGTATAATTATCAGGAGGCTTCAATTTCTACTTTGAGAAAGTTAACTACTTCTAGTTAGCTTTGTACACATGTTGATATTCACCTTCTCAAATATCAACCCTTTGGTGAATAAAGCAACTGTTTCACTTTTGCGGTGAGGAAAAAAAAAAGATCAGATTCAATGTAGAAAAATTATTTTGAAAAAAAATCAATTTTTTCATGCAAAATTACACAAATAATACTATCCAAGGTATCGGGATAGGACCAGAAACAGGAGTCAGATAACTGTGCAGTTGATTATCCAATGCCAATAATGCACAATCTTCATTATCTCATTTTAGAGCATTAAAAAAAAAGGTAAGAATTGCAAATATAACCTGAAATGATAGCTTTTATTTAAATATAGTCATGTGAGTGTGCCTAAGGAGGACAGGACACCTAATGCTCTTGTGTTTGCGTGTGTCCTAATAGATGTGGACTCACAGCAAGATAGCCACGGCTGAAGCCAGAAGTGTCAATTTTCTGATTGCAGAGTTTTTAAAAAACAGGAAAATAGGTTTAACAAACATGCATTCAAAAGAAATATGGTCTCTACCCCATCCCATTCCGGAGGTTCCTTATACTTGGGCAAATAGACAATCTATGAGAAACAGCTTCAAATTTATGGGTTTCATTTAGGGGACTTCTCAGGTTCCCAAATCATTCAGGGAAGTCCATTTCTTATTCAGTATCTCTAGTGCTCTGCCAATCTCTGGCTGACAATAGAAACGTTTTCAACTCCCAGATGACTTCAAAATATAGAAAAAGAATCCTGTAGTGATGATGTGAGTAGCTCCTAATATCAGTTGAACTCCAGATGATTAGACTAATCATAATAATCTCATTTCCCTTGCCAGTGATCCAATTAGAATATGGCACATGTCCTAATTTTGAAATGAGGTGAAGCCTAAGAGGCTTCCAGGATAGGTTTTCCCACTTCTGAAAAGAGACACAAAAAAGACTTTGTCCCTCCTCTTCTCCTGTTGGTTGGGACTGGACATGAGTTGGGAAAGAGCTACAAGCATCTTGCTACCAGCCTGAAGATGAAGCCAATGCCAATATGAAGTGGGAGGGTAGGAATACACAGAAACTGAATCTGAACCCTGACATGCTATCCTTGGACTTACTGTTATTGGCAATTTCCCATTTGAATTTACATATGGGGTTTCCCCCCAGTTTTATTAAAGTATGATTGACAAATAAAAGTTGCATATATTTAACTGTAGGATTTGATTTTTTTGTTATTCAATAGATATTTATTGATTCAATATTTTGCATATATTTAACTGTAGGATTTGATTTTGTATGTTTTTTTTTAAGAGTTTATTTATTCATTTGACAGAGAGAGAAAGAGGCAGGAGAGAGGGAACACAAGCAGGGGGAGTAGGAGAGGGAGAAGCAGGGTTCCCTCGAGCAGGGAGCCCGATCCGGGGCTCTATCCCAGGACCCTGGGATCATGACCTGAGCCGAAGGCAGACGCCTAACGACTGAGCCGCCCAGGCGCCCCTGATTTTGTATGTTATTCAATAGATATTTATTGATTCCAAAGTAAGGGCACTTTGTAGAACATTGGAACCTACGGATAGTTCCTGCAATTGAAGGACCTTACACTCCAGCAGATAACCTTGAAAAGCATCCGGAAATGTCTTTTTTTTTTTTAAGATTTTAGTTATTTATCTGAGAGAGAGGGAGAGAGAGAGAGCGTGAGCGTGAGGGGTAGGGGCAGAGGGAGAAGCGGGCTTCCTGCAGAGTGCAGAGCCCGAAGTGGGGCTCGAGCCAGGGACTCCAGGATCATGACCTGAGCCGAAGGCTGACGCTTAACTGAGAGCCACCCAGGTGCCCCTGGAAATGTCATTTTTTATTGAGATATAATTGACATTTAACATATTCGTTTCAGGTGTATGACATAATAATTCGATATTTGTATTGTTAAAAAAAAAAAATTCAGCCAAGCAAATAACTTCTGAATAAGACATAGAATTCTCTTAAAGTACCTGGGAGGGAGATGGGCCCTGTTCAGTCAGAACCATGATTTTTAAGTTGCCGTTTCCTCAAGGATTAGCAATCTGATGAAGGATAAAGGAGCCTAAATTCTGCGTTTGGGAATCTGTGGTCACTCTATAATATATACGTTTTTGTCCCAGTCCCACCACTTCCACTTCCTAATCTATAAAAATGGAAATAACTGCATCTTCCTCACAGGGTTGTTATAAAGTCCTTAGACCACAATTTAAGTTATATTCCTGGTCGGCACTACAGAAGTGATCCTCATACGGGTGCATCCAGTGCTGGGGAACATGAATCTCTCTGAACTATACCTAATGTTGGTGAGCAATGTGGCTTTCATAATCCCACGGTTTTGTTGCATTTATTATCGGGGAAACGTTGGAACTCAAAGAAGGCCTGTGTTGCAATCCAGGTTCCTCCATCCTTAGCCATGACAACACCAAACGGCCTGGCGGGAGGTTGGCACTAGGCTCTGCTGGGACTCCATTGGCCTGCCCGGATTGGAGTTAGCCAATCGCCAAGCGCTCCTCGAGGGGGCGGGGCCTGCGAAGGGACCAACCAGGCCTGTGCTCAGACGGCGAGCAGTCTCGTCCCGCCTCCCGGCCACGTGGGGTTCTCTCTTCCTGCAGATCCGGTCCTGAGTACGAGCAATGGCGCCCTTCAGGGTTAAGACCCAGCCCGGACCTCACAGCCCAGGAGCCAGCAAGAAGTGTTCCCTTTCCAGGAGCTGGCTCCTTATGCACACTCAGCAGTCCTGGTGTAAGTTTAAGCACTTTCTGAAGCCATCAGTGCTTCACGTAGAGGCACGTCTGCTGGAAAAGATTTTCGGTGAGTACGCTCAAATCTTTACCACTAGGCCCCGCCTTGGTCTCCGGTGACCACCGTGAGCCATCCACTGCAGTTCTAAGGCAGTGGCTAGTGTCCTGCAAGCCATTGTCCCAGTGACCTCCTTCGCCTGTCCCCGCAAGCTCCGAGTCTTGGCCCATTCCGCCACCCCCACCCGCCTAATCCCTCGGGAATCCTCCATTCTCCACAGGTCCAAGCAGAGTCCTCCTCCCGGGATTCGAGCGGGAGTTCAAAGTCCTGCTCCAAATGAGAAAGCGCAACTCCGAGGGCAAGGTTGAAATCTTCATCATGGGGAGACGCCGGTACCGCAAGCGTGCCAAAAGGCTGATTCGCTTTTTGGCCGTGAAGCCGCGAAGGAAGCCGTGCGAAGGTAAGGAGCGTCATATGCCTAGACATTAAGTGCGCAGACCTAGACTGTGCTAAGGGAACTTTCACTTCCACCACTCCTCTCCCGCAAGCCTGGGACTCCTTCATATCCGGGGATGCTAGGATTCCTGAGTTTCCAAGGGAGTCACAGAAACCCTGGAATACGGCACTGTGGGAGACAGCTGGCTTCCTTCCAAGGAAAGAAGAGCCGTAAGGAACCTCCTACCCCAGGCCCTTCCCCGCTGTGTGCCTGCCTGATTTCCCTTTTCAGAAGCTGGGAGGGAAGCCATCTGGACCCCACTTTGTGAGATAAAACTAGAGTCAGTGATGACTTAGAATGAACGCAAAAGCACTGTAAAAATGCAGATTGCCCACCACGACTTCCCTCCAACCCCACCCAGGAGTTAGGCATATTGGCAAACTAAAACTTCTGTTCCTCAGGCTCCTCACCTATAAAATAGGTCTAGTCATAGTAGCCTACATAGAGGTTTTTTTCCCCGAGGACTAAATGAGTGAATACAATAAAGCACTTAGAATACATAGAAAATACTTGATAAATATGAGCCATCATTATTTTATTGGGTGTTCTGGGTGATTCTGATGTAGGTGGTATGCTCTAAGGTGACCACTAAGGTAGACTCAGCAGTGTTTTCTGTGGAGTCGCTTTCCCTGTGTGTTCTGTGTGTTCTCCTGGGCAGTATACTTGCTCATTCCATGCTTTCCTTCCAGGCACAATGATGCTCAGCCTGGAAACCATGAAGTCTCTTGAAAAAGAGAATGTTCATTCCAGTGCTCTCCTCTCCACCACAGTGATGAGCAGCCTGGATGAAGCCATGCAGTCACTGGAAATAAGTCAGGAGACTGTCCAGGAACCTGTTACCAAAACAGTGTGATTTTTGTGATTAGAATCTTAGTGCAAGGGGTTCAGTCTGGGTCAGGAGCCTTACCCTTAGAGCCCATTCTGTACTCTGCCTTTGTTCCTGTGGCTAAGGGGAAATAAGTATTGTTAGTGGTCTATACACCTTTTTCCTTGCTAAACAAATAGACAGTTGTTTAAAGATTCAAACGTGAGTTATAATAAAAAATAAACTTTAAAAAACATATATAGATAGAGATTAGTATTGCCAAGAAAGGCAGTCTTGCTTTGCATGCTCCAAGAAGGGAAAGAGCTAAGAATTAACAAATGGTTGGTTCTGCTTTTTCACAGTGTTTCGTACTAGGTGGGTATAGCTAGGACCTTTAATGTTCCAGGGAGCTTTTGTAGATAAGGAAGAACTTTACTGTTTATTCTTTCATTAATGCTAATTTTGAAAAAAAATGTTACATTGATATTAAACAAGCTTTATAAACCCAATTGTTAAGCGTTGAAACATTGATGACAAGCTGATTCCATTCTCTTTGGTATTTAGTTAAAAAGAAGTCTATTATGTTTCTTTGTCGTCTTTTTTAATAGCTTAAATGGCAAAACACATTAGTGAGTACCAAATTTATTATGACTAGAACAAAAGCATCTGTATGTGGTTCTTCATTATTCCTATAATCCCAAATAGAATAGCTTTCCTTTTTTTTAATTTTTATTTTTTTTACTTTATTTTATTTTTTATTTTTAAAGATTTTACCTATTCATTTGACCGAGAGACACAGCAAGAGAGGGAACACAAGCAGGGGGAGTGGGAGAGGGAGAAGCAGGCTTCCCGCTGAGCAGGGAGCCCGATGCGGGGCTCAATCCCAGGACCCCGGGATCATGACCTGAGCCGAAGGCAGACGCCTAACGACTGAGCCACCCAGGCACCCCTAGAATAGCTTTCCTGATTTAAGTAATTTTATTAGTTACTTTACTTTCTCAGAGTATTACTGTAAATAAAAGAAAAAGGATTCCATCTCTGCCCAACTGAGTTTGCATATCCTGGGTTTAGTGACCAATTACTTCTGGGTCAGATCCCTAGAATACCATTTATTGAGCATTTGGTATGGACCAGGTTCTGTTAAGTACTTTACATACATTATTTGACTTGATCTTCATAATAATCCTATGAAATCATAATCTATGAAAATAGATGTGATTATGCCCATTTGACAGATGAGGAAAGGGCAGGGTAGGAACATCAAATAATGGGTATCCTGCCTCTTTGTCACTTTTCGTGTTGATACATGTACATTCACACTACACTGTAAACTCCTCATGGCATTAGGGATGGTGTTTCAGTTTTCTTTTACCCCTGAGGCCCTAGGCACGTAGTTAACACTGGGTTATTGACTGTTACAGTCATTGTTTTATTTACCAACCAGTCGGCCCTAGTTAATGCAGATAATGGTGTTCATGAATAAAAACCAGGTCTACCACGTGGCCATTTGGCCATATATGACAACCTGCAGTTTCATTAATATAATCTGGAAAATTTACTGAATTATTTTTTTCCCCATTTCCCTTAGCAATAACATGGTACTAAAGAACTGAGGACGCAACTGGCTGGGTTTAAAAATGCCTCTGGTAGTAGGTGCTTGGGGCCCACCCAGGCAGCCCTGCTGGGAGAGGCCAGGGTTAATCACTAGCTCACAGGCTTAGGGTGAGTAAACAAAAGGTTCCAGGGAAGCTCCTCTGGCTCTAGGTCCTGTCACATAACCCTAGGAGAGAAAGGCAGGCTTCACCTTGGGCCTCAGCAAAGGCCTACCACTTGGAAGGGTAAGGCCTTGAAGACCTACCCAGGCATAAATGTGGAAAGTTTCTTTATAGTCTTCTATGTCATTCAGCTTGGCCACAGTCAGACTCGTAGGAATTAGGATTTGAGGTAGTCTCAGTCTAGGGCAGCATTCATCAGGTGCTTTGGGACCTCAGTCATCTGGAACCTGGGTCTAAGACTGGCCCCCTGCCACAGGAGTATTCTTTCTGCTCTGCCATGTCATCTTTGTAGATAACCTCAGGGTAAATAAATAACTGACCGACCTCAGGGTTCTACTCTTACCCTCTAAGTCACTCCTGGGAGTACCTGGAGGTGTGGCAGAGAAAGCTTCCAGCTGGAGCTGCCTGGGCCCCTTTTTATTGTCAATAGTCACTTACTACAGCCTTGGGACTTGCAAGTTTTTCATTTCTCTCCTTAAATGATTCAGGCTTTGCTTGATAAGAGTTTTTGTCATACTGTCTTTGTTATTCTATGTACTGACCTCGCCTGTTATTTAAAAATTTCTGTATCAAATTTGCATGGTAGCTGTTTTGGTTTTTTTTTTTAAGATTTTATTTATTTGAGAGAGAGAGAGCACATGAGAGAGGGGAGGGTTAGAGGGAGAAGCAGACTCCCCGCTGAGCAGGGAGCCTGATGTGGGACTCGATCCAGGGACTCCAGGACCATGACCTGAGCCGAAGGCAGTCGCTTAACCAACTGAGCCACCCAGGTGCCCATGGTAGCTGTTTTCTTAGGACATTTGACTCATCCATTATTGTGAGGTACTGTTGGACCATCTTTGCATTTTGTTCTTTTGTGCCTGATCATCATTGTTGCTCATCCTTCTTGTTCTTGGTATAGTTCCAGCTTTTTCTATATTCCTTTGGCCTATTCAGTTTACTAAATCTATCCTCTACCTACATAGAGAAAATGTGCATATTTATATTTGATAGAAGAAATAATGCCCAGATATTTACCTTCCTACCAACAAATTAGGTTAAACCTACCCATTTATGTTTCTTATTTGTGAATCACAATTATCTTTAAATTTGTGCATTAACTTATCACTTAGGTCATGACTAAGAGTGGGAGACTCTAAGGGCAGAAAACTTTTCCCTTCTTACCTTCTAGTTTCTTTGGTCTAATAATTAAAGTGACAAAGACAGATCAGCAGTAGAAAAAAAATTTCATATGTACAAGAGCCCTGAAGACATGAGACCCAAAGACATTCAAGCAGTGGAAGCTTATATGCCATCCTAAGCTAAGAAGAAAGGGGTAGGGGTCTCAGGCTTCAAAGGGGAAAAGACAGTTCACAGGAAAACAAGAACAAGAAGAGCAAATGTTTGGTAAACAAATGTTTGCTGAGCCTCATGCCTCATCGTAGATCAGTCTTTCTGATATAAAAAGTTATCTGTAGTAATAGCTGTCTTCCTGGTATGGGCACCTATTGAAATTCTTTTAGGCAGTGAAGGGGAGATGAAAAGCTCTTCCTGAGTCTGCTGGGCCTCAGTTGTCTTCAGCCTAAAATAATCTCTATGCCAAAGTGGCATATTCTGCTCCCCCTCAAAACTAAAAAGCTGATCGGCAGCTTTTTTTTTAGTATATGTGCTGCCGAAGCGAGCACTGATTGGCAGCTTTTAGCCCATGGGTACAGCTTGGCAACTTTGAGCTCCACTGTAAATGATCCCTTGGTTGAGGAATCTTGATGTCAGTATTGTGAGCTGGTCAGAGTCCCTGGAGGAGAATCCTGAAGTATCCTACCCTACCTGGATAGTAAAGGCTTGGCTCCAAAGTTCTGAGAGCCAATTAAGGGAAGAAGGCTAAGTACCTCAGCTTTCAGTAATCAGTAAGCAGTTGGTCACTTAATCCTTTTGTGTAAGATATGGTCTCTGCACCCTTTGTTTTACTCTCCCCAGAGAAGAAAGATAGTTTCCTGCTAGAGTGAAAGACGGGCAGCTGCCCAGTGTAACAGAGGGAGCAGGGATCCGGAGATACAGATTCTTCAGACATCTTTCCCTCAATTCTAGATGCCACCGTCCCCAGCCCCCAGCAACCTCCAGGTCCTGAGCATTTTTGAACTCTGCAACACAAGTTGGATTGACTTAGCTATTTGAGAAAGCCAAATCCTAAATCAGTTCATCTGTCCGTCTTCACCTTCCAAGACGTTGCCATTTTTTTCTTCTATCGTGTACTCCCTGTTTCCTGGGTTTAATTTTTTTTTAATCTCTTTACTGGAATCTAATGGGATTTTAAATGTAAAATTAGATACATATGTTCCATCTGCCACTTTTCCTGGAAGCTCCAGCTTGAGAACATTTTTCTTTTTCCTAAAGTATATCCTTTAAAAGTTCCATTCATGGGGCACCTGGGTGGTTCAGTCGTTAAGTGTCTGCCTTCTGGTCGGGTCATGATCCCAGGGTTCTGAGATCGAGCCCTGCGTCAGGCTCCCTGCTCCCTGGGAAGCCTGCTTCTCCCTCTCCCACTCCCCCTGCTTGTGTTCCCTCTCTCGCTGTGTCTCTCTCTGTCAAATGAATAAATAAAATCTTTAAAAAATAATAATAATAAAAGTTCCATTCATGAGGGTTTATTAGACAGCAAACTCTTATTTTTCCCCAGGAAAACACCTTCGTTCCACCCGTGTTCTTAAAAGGAGAGTTTTGCTAGGTAAACAGTCTTCAGCTGACTATTCTCTCTTAGCCATTTAAAGATCTTAGAGGGTCTGGCTGCCACTGCTAATTATGATTTCTGCTTGGTCTAATTGCTTTTCTCCCGAAAAGGTTTTATTATGCACAGAGGTGAGAGAGGGCTCAGCCCTCGGCAGCTGCTTTCCTCGTATAGCCAGGACACAGTGCCCAGCTCCCCTCTTTTCCTCTTGGCAGATGCATGTCTCCACCCTTGTCTTTTTTTTTTTTTTAAGATTTTATTTATTTATTTGACAGAGAGCGAGAGAGGGAACACAAGCAGGGGGAGTGGGAGAGGGAAAAGCAGGCTTCCCGCCGGGCAGGGAGCTGGATGCGGGGCTCAGTCCCCGGACCCTGGGATCATGACCTGAGCCGAAGGCAGGTGCTTAATGACTAAGCCACCCAGGCACCCCCCAACCCTTGTCTTGATGAGCCTCTGGGCCCACTTGTCCTTAGCTCCATGACGAGCCAGTCGTTTGTGGCCAAGCTGCACACCTCCCAGATCTTGTCCCAAGAAACTTGACATGCTTGTGGCCGTGGCAGCAGTGCCTCGGCCAGCTCATGCTGTCAGTCACCACGTGTCCCTTGTTGAGCCCTGTGGCTGCCATCGGGTAGCACAGAGCCCCATGCTGCCTGGCAAGGTGGTCTAATTTTTTTTAATCCCTGTCACGCTTATCAATATTTACCCCTCTTTATACTAGATTTCCTTTTACACTAATCTTTTTTTCTTAAGATTTTATTTGTCAGAGAGAGTACGCGCGCACAAGC